TGCAAGCTGTCGCACAGTAGTAAGACGATATCATCTACATAATTTTAATCATCAGTCTTTTATGACGTGTACGTACTTTGTATTGTTCAGTGGTTCTATCACTAATTTGGTGCTTCTAGAAATCAGGTGTTCATTAATGATATAGTCGTAGAATACTCAGCCACCATACCTCACGTGGGTGGGTGTTCGACTCCAGACAGCCAACTTACTCCTAAGTCTCTCTTAACCTGTAGTAAGCCCAGCGGTAAAGAAGGAAGGTCGGTGAGCATGAGACTAGCAACGCCACCTCGTAAAACTCAGAATAATACTCCCAGTACTACTGAAACTTAGAAGCTCAGAGCTTGACCGCCTATATTTCACTCAGGATACAAAAAGCATAAATAATATATAATAACAAAAATAATAGTACAAATCGGGTAGTGACGAAATACTTTTTGTCTTTGTTTAATTACGTCATCCAATCGACATAGAAGTGTAAAACATATTGTTTGTTGTTTTTTTACATTTTTTCAGTTGATTGTCATTGGAATGACACCGGATATCAGTTTTTTCTTGTTCCCCAAAGACATAATATGAGTGATATTGAATAACAGTGGCATTTAAATACGCGCGCAAGTATAACTTGTTCAATATTCAATGTAACTGTATGTATGACTTTGGATGTTAGATAAGTTTATTTTAAATATCACACAGTGATGCTGGATGACAAGTTTTCCAGCATAAATTATTGTTGTTCATATTCATAACAATTTACTCATACGGTTTCACAATTTGTCTTGTATACGCTTTTTTCCTCTCTTTCTCTCCATCTTCCCCTTGTTGTTTGCTGCCAGGTAGGAATCTCAAAATGATGCTGGAATTAGGATGGTACTTAAACCAACCAACCAACTCTCTCAGAGATAAACTTTCTCACCTCAAGGACCTAATAGATCCAATTAAGAAAAATAATATAACTCACCAAATACTGTGTAATGAATGTGAGGTCATTACATAGGTCAATCAAACGAGTGGTGGATCGAGGTTATTATTATTATTATTGTTCCCTTGGGTTCCTAGTGGAACATAGGGCTTCAACTACACGTCTCCACTTGTTTCTGTCTTCTGCTGTACTTTTCACCTGCGTCCATGTTAATCCATACTGTTTCAACTCCTCTTCACACGATCTCCTCCATGTCACCCTTGGACGTCACACTCGCCGCTTCCCTTTCGGGTTCCACTCGAGCACTGGCCTGACGCGCGATGTCACCCAACGGCCTCCTCAGCAAATGTCCAATCCATCTCCACTTTCTCCTGCATATTTGTTGAGCGATTGGTTCTTGTTTTGTTTGTTCCCATAGTTTCTTGTTGGTGATTCTTTCCGGCCATCTGATCTTCAGTATAAAAAGAAGACAGTTGATGATAAAGGTCTGCAACCTATTGGAAATATACTTTGTGATCTGTATAGAAGAACTGACTGACTTGACGTTTGTATTGAAAATCCGAATTTTGTTGTTGATGCAGGCTGAATGACGAAGATTTCCTGATTGGGTCCAGGTTGATGAATGGGATCGAGGTTAGTCAATGAGATTATTGGAAAGTAAAAATTAAGCTAAACGTGGAATAATTGATCATGGTAAGTTAAATAACCTATAAAAAGTACAGCTTATCAATTACATTGCATTCACTTGCATGCAGTCACACAACGATAGGGTGAGAGTATTAACGAGTCATATAGTTAGATGGAGACACTGAAGCTTCATCTAACGATTCAACACCAGCGAAAACATGCAATCGGAACGATGCAACACCTATACTGGAGATATGGAAAGTGGTAACAAACAACGAAGGGAAGCTGGAAAGAAAGAAAGAAAGAGAGAATATATATGACCAATTGTGGAGCCGTGTAACTAAACTGATGTGATTATGAGTGGCGATAAGTTATGCTGCTAACCTTGTCATCCATTTATTAATACCGCATCATCACTGTATGATATTTGAAACAAACTTATCTAATATGGAATTACATTCTACCACACTTCCCAAATACTAAGCCGCATCATCCTGGAGAGAATCAAACATGCCCTGGATGAAAAACTTCGACCGGAACAGGCTGGATTCAAGAGAAACAAGTCATGTATTGATCAAATCGCCACATTACGGATCATCATTGAACGAAGCTTGGAATAGCAGTCACCTCTCTATCTCAAGTTCATCGACTTTGAAAAGGCCTTCGATAGCGTCGATCGAGAGGTGCTTCGGCAACTACTTCGCTACTACGGTGTACCACCGACAATTATACGTCTCATCCAACAGATGTACGACAATGCTGCATGCCAAATAATCCACAACGGGAAACTTACGGAATCCTTCGAAGTGAGGACAGGAGTAAGACAAGGCTGCCTACTATCGCCAATGATTTTCCTGATTGCAGTGGACTGGATAATGCGACAAACAGCGGGCAATCAGGAAACAGGCATAAAATAGACCCTAATGAAAAACTTGGAGGATCTGAACTTCGCCGATGATATATGTCTGATTTCCCACAAATTGGAAGATTTTCAAGCGAAAAGCAACAAGTTTGCAGAAAAAGCATCCAGAGAAGATAGGACTTCCTTCTGGTGCACATAGAGAAAACAGAGGTGATGAAGATTCCTGGACAAGAACAACAACAACAGACAGCAATCAGCATAAATGGGAGGAACCTGAAAGAAACAACCTCCTTTACCTACCTGGGAAGCATCGTTTCAACTACAGGCAGACGGAACTGACGAGGATATCAAAGCAAGGATCGGGAAAGCAAGACAAGCTTTCACTACTCTCAAGTCTGTGTGGAGATAAATCGACAGCACTGCTCAGCATGAAAAATAAGATCCGGATTTTCAACTCCAGTGTGAAGTCAGTGCTACTCATTATACTGATCAGAGACTTGCACTGCGCGTCATAAAGAGCATCTCAAACAAACTACAGACCTTCATTAACAGTTGTCTTCGCTCAATACTCAAGATCAGATGGCCAGCCAGAAAAGATCAGCAACAGGATGGGATCTCTGGGAACGAACCAACTCAGCAGGAACCGATTGTGAAACAAATAGGCAGGAAGAAATGGAGATGGATTGGCTGGCTATACTCTGAGGAAACCATCAAGTGACATCACTAGACAAGCCATTGCTCGAGTGCATTTCGAAAGGGACGCGGCGAGTTGGTCGTCAGTGCGAAGGTGGGTGACTTGGAGGAGGTCATGTCAAGAGGAGATGAAAGCGTGTGGGCAGACTTGGAACCAGGTGAAGACTCTAGCAGAGAACCGAACGCAATGGAGACGCACGACTGAAGCCCTATATTCCTCTGGGAATTAAAGGAAACAATAATTATAATACAATTCCCAAGTTCTACACTTACATCAGTGACTTTTGGTATTTATGTATCATTCCATAAAAACAACAAAGATTGAGAGCAAATACTCTACTGCAGTCTGCTAAGCTAGATCAGCATAACATGCATGAAATTACACCTTACTACAGCTAATATGTTCTTATCTCATACTAAAATAACACGTCTATTATGTTAGTCTAAAATATCACAGATCGTCTTTTCTTCAGGAGATAGATGATGAAATATAGTTTGTTCGTAGTAAACTGCAGTCGAGACTTTGTCATTAAATGTGTTTTACGCGAAAGTAGGTCAGCTACAAAATCAATGCGAAGACAGTAATTGTTTAGTAGTCATCCTATGGAACGCAGATATGTTATTTGGTTATCAACCAGAAGGAATGTGTATCGCATTGCAGTTCACTTCGTCCTAAAAGACACTAACATTAATAAATTGTGTTAAAATATGAAGTAATTTGGTGAATGGTGACTAGCAGTGGAATCCACCAAGATGGCCATTTCATCCGATTTGGGACTCGTCATCTGCATATGCCAGTACTCCCTAAGTGAGTCAGTGGTCGTCCTCCCATCGAAGCATCAGTATACTACCCATCGTTTCAAAATACTAGAGAGATATCCACGAAACCACTTGGGTCACGAAAGTCACCTCTAGTGCAACCGTCATCACTTATGATTTGTGTTGTTGTAATTCAATTTCGATTTTCGCGTTCATTGATTGGGTAGAAATGTTCAGCCTCAGGTACATCCATATGAAGAGTCCCAAAGAGGACGAAATGAACGTCCTTGATGGATTCCACTACTAGTCGGTCATCCATCCACCAAAATTACTTCAAGTTAATCCTCATGTATCATCGATGCATTCGTACTAGGAGCTGACATGTCAGCGATAGAGGCTGAACATTTCAGTCCATTCATGAATTAGTCAACGGGAAAATCAAAGTTGAATTAAAAATCATAAATGCTTTAATAGTCTGAATAAAAAACTATCACATTGGTTAACAATTTCATTTGTACATGCATTGTTAGGTATCTTCCTTCCCTCCTAACAGCAGATTACAGCTGTTTGTCCTATACAGGCATGGAGTAAGTGCATCCCCACATACACACACACATACAACTTTGCACATGTCGTGCTGCCCTCCAGATAAGTGAATTTAAAATTCTCCATGTCAAAATGCTGCATAAGAATTTCAAATGCACAATTTAATATCAAATTCAATGAAAGAGACAGTGGGGGAGGGGATAATAATAATAATAACAGATAGACAGAATGTTTAGTGGGGATACAAATTTTCATGCATTTAATATTGTACGTAGCATCATAGATAGACAAACACAGACCATCTGCTGTGTGTGTTGTGTGTGTTCACAATTATATTATTCATTTTTCCGCTTTTTGATTGGATGGCTTACTCGAATTCCTGCCTGCTCCGCCCCCCTAATGTGGTAAATTAACCTATTAATGATAAAGAAGGAGAAGGGATTGTGGAGGTGGCTGTTTATTATTATTTTTTATTATCCTCACATCATTCCTATCCCACCTACCCCCAAAAATAATAACACTGATATTTTATACTACATATAATAATAAACTTGATTATGATGTTCCCCACCATTTTCATTGCCCAATCTGAACTGAACTGTGTACAGCTACCTCTTCACTGATTCAAGAAGACAGCAGAGAAATTAAAGGACTAGATTAATATAAAAAGTTGAGAGGGAGGAGAGGGGAAATTTATAATATTCTCACGTGTCTGTTTGTGTGTGCATGCGTGCATTCGTCATACCTATTGGGATACAGTTTTTGTCGAATAATAATTAACCCTGTACCAAAATGAAGAGAATGAGAAGTCGCAAATCAAATTATTCATTTCAATATCCAATCCATTCACTTTATTAATTCACATTCATCCCATCCCTGTATTAATTGTGGTTGTTCTACTATCAGTATTTTCCCATATTATTTGACTGTATTTCCAATATAATACACATATTGTGTATGCATTTTTCAAAATTCAAATCATTATATCTAATTAGCGCTGTGTGAATTTACGGGATCTTTTGGAAACGATTCGAGCATTACTGAGTTATTCCTGTGAGTCAAAGTGTAACTACTGCTTTTTTTAAGATTTCAATGTGATTAAATATTTTACTTATTTAATTGTTGCTATTTATTTTATTTTATTTTCCTTCACGTTCCCAGAGGAACATAGGGCTTCAAGCTAGTGGCTTGAAGTTTTTGTTGCATTGTTTTATTTTACGGGATGGGGTTGCTAGCCTCATGCCCAATCTTTTCTCTTTACCAGCATTATTTCTGGCTCAACGAGGTAAAGGAATGCGTCGGCCGGGGATCGAACCCCGGACCATGTGCATGGTCGGCCAGCATCCTAACCGCTATACCACCGACGCAATTTGCTATTTATTATTATAATATTATTGTTCCCATGGGTTCCGAGTGGATTATAGGGACTCAGCAGCATATCTCCATTTTGTTCTATTCTCTGCGGCCCCTACGGTTTCCCGTAGTCTCTCATCTCCATATCAACCTCAGACACATGTACAACTCGTCGTTTTCTATTTGAGTTCCACTCGAGTAATGGCTTAGTGCGCGATGTCACCCGACGGTCTCTTCAGAGCGTCTCTGATCCATTTCCATTTTCTTAGGAATATTTGTTGATCAACAGATTCTTGATTGGTTAGTTCGTTCCCAGAGTTTCTTATTGCTAATTCTTTCTGGTCAGCCATCTAATCTTCATTATGGAGCTATCAAATGCAGCTGTTAATGAAAGTCCACAGTTGCGTATTGGAAATACATTTCATGATACATTTGGCAAGTTTCTGACCCATATAGAAGTGCGTTAGTGTTGAGAACCCGAAATTTGCTCTTACTACTGAGGATAGAAGATTTCCAAACTGATTTCAGAGTGATTCAGGTCTTCATACATTTATTCCCCTTGATGAATTTAAATAAAGCAAGAACAACAGTGTAGTTTGTGCAGAATAATATGGTACCATCATTTATTTTGTTGGCTTCTCATCGGCTGCTTACAGCCTAAATAAATTATGAGGTTTGTGTACAGAAAAGTTTTAACATACTTGCAAATTTTTATATGTTGTCAGTTGACAAAAAGTTCCACAATAAGTGAACAGTGCTCAGAAAATTACGCTTGCATAGTTTTTACACAGGCAGTTCAAGTTTAAACAAAATAAATGTATGCATACAATGGTAAAATGAGTTACGTAATAAAGACGAAATATGCGTTAGATACACAGTGACTAATGACTCTGGCGACTAGAATCTGAAAAATCTGTAGTCCTGAATCAATAGACGAAGAGATCGCCCTCTTAAGGAAGACACTGCTCGAAAATGGCTACCCACCCCGTTTTATAGACAAGCATATTCCCGCCTGGCTAAGGAAAGGTAACAACGGAGCAATAAGGAGCGCCATTATTGAGCATATACTCATCACTGGTCATTCGATTTGCAAGGAGAAGTCGTTCAAAGTCATCTATAAAGTCAAAAGAAGCCTTCCAAAATCGACAAGCTTCCGTATACTTTGTATTGCCGAAGCCTTAGCGATTTAGATAGAAAAGCCTGATTTATGCAGACAGAAGAAGAAACTTCTCCACCCCCTCCTACTACCGTGGGTTTAATTTCAAGTTTATCTTTCATCAACATTTTGTTATCAAATTTTTTTGCAATCTTCGTAAAATAATTTTTAGTAACTAACCCATTCAATCTTTTCACCTATTATCTAGTTTATTTTCATAATTGTCTCCAAACTCCTTCACTAGCATCTAATCTTTCTAAACATGTCTGTCTATATTACGTCACCCTACTCACATCTTACCAATCTTCACCCCACTTAGTTACAACTTTGATTATTAATCACACATTTTAATTTCTTTACTATTTTGATGATGTAATCAACAACCCACACTAACTGTTATTTTGATTTTGACAAACCTAATGTACACACACACACACAAAATAATTGTATATATATTTGCGACTGTACAGCTAAGTGAATGAATTCGCCGAGAAGAGACTCTTCGCTGGACCAATTTGTTCTTATTTCAATAAATTAGGTAACAATGTACTGAGTTCAACTCAAATCGTAGAAACAAGAGACAAGAGATAATCTGTAATTTCGCTTGTCTCTTGTTTCTATGATTTGAGTTGAACTCAGTACATTGTTACCTAATTTATTAGTCACTGTGTATCTAACGCATATTTCGTCTTTATTACGTAACTCCTTTACCATTGTATGCATACATTTATTTTGTTTAAACTTGAACTGCCTGTGTAAAAACTATGCAAGCGTAATTTTCTGAGCACTGTTCACTTATTGTGGAACTTTCTGTCAACTGATAACATGTAAAATTTGCAAGTATGTTAAAACTTTTCTGTACGCAAACCTCATAATTTATTTAGGCTGTAAGCAGCCGATGAGAAGCCAACAAAATAAATGATGTTACCATATTATTCTGCACAAATTATACTGTTGTTCTTGCTTTATTCAAATATGATTCAGGTCTGTCTTGCCTTTTCGATTCAATTATATGCCCATATAGGAGATAATTTTAAACCCTATACTCCAATTGCATTTATTATTTATTTATTTAAAACACAAAACCTGGTACAGTATAGGCATCAATAAGATGCTCCACACATACATGTGATCAATTTTCCTCATTATTTGTTGTTTCATTTTTAGTGCCAGCGATGAGATACTGCTCGGTCTCTCAGACCGAAGGAGACACTCTCCTTCCCCGCCCCAAGCCTATGACTTAAAGTCTCATTCACAAGGCAGCGGAGTAGCGTTAGGAGCGACATCCTCATGATTTGACGGTGACCAATGTAGGTTCATTCACACGCCATTCGATACGTTCTGATTCTGCAGTCCACGTACCCTCCCTCCCCCTGATAGCAACCGCTATGCACAAAAAACCTTCCTGGCGTACCTTTTTAGGTCACTGTGGTATGCACGTCCGACCACTGCAGTAAGGTGGCAGTAATCGGCCGGGATGTTCCACTTGGAAAGGAAGGAAATAAAAACAAAAAAAAAACATAATTCGTGTGCTCTTAGTGCTCTTTATTTTCATTATGCTTTTTAGTGATATATATATATAGTTTTCCTAAAATAAAAATGGTGTTTCTTTCAGGTGGTAATATTCGTGTCATTTTGTACATTGTCAAGGTGCCTGCTATTTATTCGCAGAAGGAAGCAAGACTCAGAAATATTTGTCCAATACGTATCTAATGTGTGATCTATTGTCACAACAACAACAGCAACAACAAACACCATCGACACAACAGAGAACAGGACAGAAATTGTCCTCTAGACAAATGAATAAAAACCAAAACCATTTATCACTTATGGATACTACTACGCCTACCAATGCACTCTCTTCTACCATCAATACCTCTAATACTACAACTCGGGCTATTTCTAATTCACCGGAAGTATCTTCTCATATTTCTACTCTCAGCACAAATTCAAATCGTTTAAACTCATCAAATAATGTCAATTGTCGTTCGTCTAAATCAAGACAGCAACTGCAACAATCTGATTTGAATTCCTCACTTGAGAATGTTATTACTACTGATATTGTAACAGTAATGTCCAGTGCTGCTAATAATGCTATTAATAATAATAATAATAACTCTACTGATGTCAGCGGTATATACAAATCATGGTCACCTAAAGAGAATTCTAATGTCAAGCAACAACAAAACTGTTCATCGGCAAATGAAACTCTGCCCACACTAACTGATTCTACAGGTGATCAACAATATTCCATAACAAAAAGTGAGCAGAGAAGTAAATTACTAAACAGCACGAATGACGCACATTTATTACATAATAATCAGTCAGATTCAATAAGTAAAAATGATCAGTCCTCAGTAAATTCATCAAGATCACCACATTCATCACCGGTATCACCGTTGTCCGCATCATCGTCAGCAGGAGCAGCAGAATTGTCTCCGGCCTCATCATCTCCTACCAAACCACAATCCCCGTGCAATCACAGTCGATCACCAAGAAAAATTGATGATTCCCAGTGGAACAATACCATAAAAGATGGAAATATGCTTAATTCTTGCAGTAATATAAAGCCTGTGACAGATGCTACTGAGAAGCTGAATCTGGTAAGTTGACGATGACTTTTTTCGATTATTTATGCCATTGAATTGTACCATTTGCAAGAGATATACAGCTGAATACCTTAAGATGTGTTGTTCAAATCCTGTTGCGTCTACTTCATGGTGAGGGCACCTATACACACAAGAAAGCGCTTGACTCCCAGTCTAGTACACGTAAAGTCGGTTCTAACCACAGTCACTGAACCATTCCAAGTAGGAGTAGCACCATTTCCATGAGAAGAGTGTCTTGTGTATGAGCAGAACCAGGAGAAAGATTATAATAATAATGATAACAGTAATACCAAATAAGCTAGTTCATTAGATATATCACACAGTGAAAAAGTATTACTGTTTACTCGATGACTGACTGTGTGATATTTCTAGTAAACAAATTCATAGGGAATTGTATAATCTCACAGTGCCCAAATTTTACACATATATTAACAACAATAATAATCACTTGATTCCAAGCAATAACAATTAAACACAATGGAAGTTTCTGCGTTTCCATGCACACTGCAACAATTTATCTCCTTTTATTAATATGTTGACATACAAATGAAAGTAATTAATAGTAATAATAATAATAATAATCTTTGCTTAGACTCACTTTCCAGTTCACTTACTCACTGAAACAGTTTATAAGCTCGTTTCTCACATTCATTCGACTATCTCCCTCTCTCTCTCTCTCTTCACACAAAACCCAGGCTAAATATGGTTTACTTGGATTTTCATATTTAACAGCTGTACGAGCATAAATTCTCATGAAATTTATTCTCGTCTTACCCAGAGTGAAGGGAAAGGCTGAGGACAAGGAGGATGTTCGGTATCGACCAACATAACTTCAGCCAACTGCTTACAAGAATTGAAGTACCTATCAATAACTATGTCAGTTAGTTGAGTCGAAGAACACACACACACACACCACTAACCCTCCTCGCTCACAGACTTCAATCTCCCACGTAATAAATAATGACATAATCTTCGATGAAAAGTCGACCACCGAAGAATAAGTGTGGGGAACAATAAAGAAGAGTGGACAGAATACATGAATTAATCGACTGTAAGAGAAGAGGTTGATTTGTGTCAACAGAAATTCTCAACATCCCTATGTAATAAGTCAAACGAAAATGTTTTGTTAGAAATCTACGATATATGAGACGACGAACGAAGAGAGATTCGAAGAGAAAGTGATTCCGAGATGAGAGATATTCGATTTAGTGTCTATCACACAGTGTTGTGAATATTACAGGACTCATGTGACTGAATCAGTCAGTCCACACAAGTCTTGTTCTCATCTGAGACTGAAATCAACAATATCACATTTGTATGTATTCAGTTTAAGACCATTTAGATGAGACGATTGGTTAACTTCAGATAAGAATCTATTCATCATGTAAGAACAATGGAATGCAGAAGCTATCGGTGCAGAAATGGTTAGATCGTCCACAGTAATGCATGATGTTCTCAACGATAATCCTACCCAGTAGCCGTCTTCTTCCAATATTAGAACACATGACGAGACTACGAGTAGGACGAAGCTGACTTTCTCTATTTCCCACTACTTGCATTTCTTCCATCTAGTTAACAAAAAAATCAATCAACGTGAAATACACAAAATGTTCACTTAGACAAAATTTCAGTTGTCAAGATAATCTTAGCACTGATGCACGTACAGCATTAAGTGGTTTATAATATCGTAAGCAGCACATGCATATTTAATAAATTTTCTAAATTCATTTGATTATTTACCACACTTTTTTTCTACTTCTTTTCATTTAAGACAGTGAGATTTAAATTATTATTAGTAGAAGTATTAGTATTTTTTTTATCATTATCACATAAATGTCTGAGATTGAGATTTGCTCAGTGAGTTGAGATCACTGAATTAGATGACTAATTGATGTAATCAAAATCAAAATTCAGTTGATTACATCAATTAGTCATCTAATTCAGTGAGATTGAGATTTGCTCAGTGATCTCAACTCACTTTGAAAGTGTATAAATTGATGATGACAACTTAAACTGAAAATTGTAATGCTTTCCATTTGGTTCCGAACACAGGACACAGCCGCTTCAACAGCACACCTGCACTTTGTCCTATTCTCCGCGCCCTCCTTTGGCTGAAATTTTGGCGTTGAAAATTTAAAAGTCGTTGCATTGTTGCATTATATGTTATGAATTTGTACATCAGTTTCGGAGTCATAAGTACCTGTTTTTGCTTTCCTGATCCTGCCTATGACGTTCCCTAACCAACTCATGGCTAATTTGACACTAATTTGAATATTTATTCGATGTTATGCAGGGATTTCGGTTATTCTGCCTGTTTCGTCGAGTACCAAAGGTATTCATAGAATCCTTTTCTGGTGAATTGACACACTCACACACACTTGACTATAAACAGCCAGTCAATCGAAGAATGAAAATGCAGAGCTTTACTGTGGCAGTTAGAAATGACAATAACGAGAAGACGGTTGTTATATCCCTCATTCGTATGACATCCCCCATTCGCTAGAAATGCTCTTGTGTAATTGCTTTGATAATGACAAAGTAGTCATCAAGCTGTCAGGCTTCTACCAAACATAAATCGTGTCTGAGTATTTAGTTGAAAGAATGAGTTATGACAACATGAAGTTAAGAATCATTGATGAATATGAATTAAATGGTTGGAGACAATCACCAGGAAGCCTTGAACTAGTTAGGTTTCGTGCCTATTAACAGTCTTCAGGCGGACGAATCTACAACTTCCAAAGAAACGATATCTCTTTAGATATTCGATATCCACGTCACATTCAGTACTGAAGTTAGACAGACGTTACCACTGAAGCATACAGCCTCACAGTCGACCTCCTGTGAGTGATTAGGAATGTATTTTGTCATCTTAGTAATAAGCATATGTTTGTGCCATGTAAATTTTTACTGGGTCTCATAATATTAATTGGTGTAAGTTACACCAACATGATCGAGATTGTCTAGACATTAGATGGTTACTTTAACAGTTTGTGACTATGCTGGAATCGAGTGAACTGACAGGTTTGACCCATTTACGGGAATAATTAGACAAGACCTACCTGATACAACTAGATCAATGATCTTAAGGGTGCTGATTTCAATCTCACCTTAGTCATGATTTCTTTCTTACAGCATATATTTAGTCTTAGTGAGATGAGAATTTAAAAAATTCTTTACCTCTCTGTGTATATGTTTGTTTTTACATAATTCTTATGTGAAATGTACTACTTCCTTTGTTTTTAATTGAATTTTGATTTTCCCGTTGACTAATTCATGAATGGACTGAAATGTTCAGCCTCTATCGCTGACATGTCAGCTCCTAGTACGAATGCATCGATGATGCATAAGGATTAACTTGAAGTAATTTTGGTGGATGGATGACCGACTAGTAGTGGAATCCATCAAGGATGTTCGTTTCGTTCTCTTTGAGACTCTTCATATGGATGCACCTGTGGCTGAACATTTCGACCCAATTGATGAACGCGAAAATCGAAATTGAATTACAACAACACAAATCATAAGTGATGATGGTTGTACTGTAGGTGGCTTTCGTGACCCAAGTGGTCTCGTGGATAACTCGCTAGTATTTTGAAACGATGGGTAGTATATTGATGCTTCGATGGGAGGACGACCACTGACTCACTTAGGGAGTACTGGCATATGCAGATGACGAGTCCCAAATCGGATGAAATGGCCATCTTGGTGGATTCCACTGCTAGTCACCATTCACCAAATTACTTCATATTTTAACGCATTTCATTAATGTTAGTATCCCTTAGCAAATACCCATAAGCATCTTTTTTGTTATAATTAAATTGATACATAAATACAGGGTTTCACCATGAGCTGACATTAGTTAGAGAACCATCGGAAAACCAGAAGGGAGTGCTGGACAGCTGTCTCATCAGCCTACTTTGAAACTCTTCAGTAGTACACACCCACCAGCGGGTTTCTCATCCAGGACCTTCGAGTTAGAAGGAGAGCAAGTGGGGTCTGAGGACACATACTAGCCGTGGATGACACTGGTTAGTGCCAGTCACTCCATATCGTGAATTGGCAGACGTTTGAATTCATAGACTGGTCACTGAGCTGCGTCCCAGAGGCTGAATGGTCTATAAGGTCACCTCGTAACCGGAAGGTCCTGGATTCGAACTGCTGATGAGTCGTAAACTAAGGCGATAGAAACAGTTATCCAATACTCCAGTGCTAGTTTTCAATGGTCCTCTAACTAATATCAATCCGTGGTCAAGCTTGAAAAAAATCCTAACTAATCTGGGAATGCCACATCATTCATATGTATACAAATTGAGGACAACTATCATAGTAGCTTAGTAAGTATTTCACTAGTATAGCATAGTATTATGCCTTTTTAAGTAAGTAAACGAGACAAGGCTAATAATACACACATCATTGATCATCAGCCAGTAAACTTTTATCACAATTTTTCTTAACATAAGAGTTCACGTGTGACAAGTATACCACCATTAAGAATGTTAATACTACTGCTAATAAAAATGATAATAATAATAGTAGTAATGTAATTAATCAACCCAGCAACGGTATTTATTAGAAATACCAACTTTCATACATCTTTTTTCGCGGTCATTTCAACTAAAGTTCACCGCATTCTCTTTTTTTTTCAAACTTAAATACAACTGTTACTACTACTACTACTACTAATAATAATAATAATAGTGATAAATTCATGAAATGCATTCAACATCATTACCATCTTCTCTTCTATATTTATATTTTTTGGTCATGATTTTATTTAAATATTAAATGTATGTTTATGTGTATATAAACACGTCTGTATGTCCCTGTGTCATTGACGTCTTCATAGCAGTAGTAGTAGTAGTAGTAGTATTTCGAGGAGGGGTGTGTAGAAGACATAATTATGTATCTTTGTACTGCAGCTGTGCTCCTGATGGATGCTAATAGTAGTAGTGGGCAAGGGGGGAGGATGTGGAGTAGTAGGACAGATAAGATGTAGA